TCATTATGTACAAGTCTGATTCTTCTCTTTTTGGTTTCACATGGAGCCTAATAAGGGAACTGAAGTAGTAGTTTGTGTCAGCCGTTTAATTTGAAAAACATGTAAAAGGCATTACATAACGAGTCTCTGAGCTAAAATAAAAACCTTCACTGTCAGGTCTGCAGTGGCGGCAGCCCAGAGCTGACGGGTGGCTATGTCACGAGCAAAACACAGAGCTCTCAGTGGTAGGTTAATACATCATGTCAGTTGTCAGCCAGACTCATGCAGACCAACGCTGTTTAATGCCTAACCAGGTGGTCTGCCGTGTCGAAAGCTGCAGAGGCAGTCAAATGGGCGTCTGTGTGTGGAGTAAATTCACTGACGTATGTTGTTTTGTCTAGGCTGGCTTCAGTCTGCCGTTATGTATCGCTCGCTTACACCTGTCACCCTAAAACTAAGCCCACCATCACGTCGACCACAGCTGTCAGAAGAAATAAGCCAGAAAAAAAGTTTACTATTATGATGATTGTGTTTATACGAGAGAAAAAAGCGGTGGGTTTGGAACAGGCAACCTCAAGGATTACAACAACACTCTGGAAGTTGTACGGTCACTGGTTTTACCAGTTTGCTGAAAAATAGCATTTTACAACTGAAACCTACTCTGAAAGCAGAAAGAAGTATTTCTATGTTTTTGTTTTTTTTGTGTGTGGAGTTTTTTGTCTGGAAGGACATGGTAGGACTGTAAACAGATGCCCCAGTTGCTCGTCTACAGCATTTCTGACTAAGTAGCAGCTCAAGGAGTGTTTGCTGTAGTAACCACAGGTGTTTCCAATTCAATTAGGACAAAAATCTGAAGGATTTTAACTGTAGATGTGTTTATATGCTTCAAACAAACTCTCTGTGTGCTATTGGACCACATCTAAGGCAAAAGTGTTCATTCTTGCTCTGAATGGCTAATTGAGAGAGGTGAGATACGATAATCATACAAATGGGGATAATGGCACACACTTTCAGATAGTCTCTTCTTGAGAAAACTCATGGCTGTTTCTGATGTGGGCATCTCAACTGACTGACCCAAGTAAAACCAACTCTGGATCAGTTGATGTTGACATGCAGGAGATAAAAATCTCAGACTGTCAGTAAACTCTGCAGAGCTGGACAAGAGAGAACGTCAGGCATTGTTTTGCTCATTTATCCATCTGCCATCTCATCCAAATTTAACTTTTGTTTTTCACACTTTGCCTCGTCTGATCAAACTGCACCACAGCGCAAGGCAAACTATTCTTAATGCGACTGTCATGTTCCAAGTTTTAAAAAAAAACGCTCACTCATGTTCACAAACACACATCAAGCAAATCAACACGACAGGAATGATGTGTGATTACTGCGTTGTTGTGGGTGGCTTTCCCCATTCACATTCTTTTATTGAGCAAATGGGATACCAGTGAAACCACCCTGACAGCTAAACTCTGGTATAGAAAATTAGTGACAGTAAAAACATTCTCCAGTTGCTGGCCCTTTTCCCAGAGTCATAAAAGTTTAAAGGTGTTCATAATTGCTAACACACCTGTAACAGTCTGGGCTCATGTTCCTTGGATGTTTATATCTGGGCCCCCTTCTTTTCCTCTCCTCTTGAAGGCTGAAATAGTCACCTGTTTTCTATTTAACTGTTTTGATGTTAAACTTCAGTCTTTGCTCTTTTGCTCAGTTTGTTTATAGGGAAATAGTGTTTCTCGTCCTTCCATTTCACCATAGGGACAACACCGAAAACACAGAAAATTCTTAATAACTGCTCTGGGGAAGCCCAGCATCCCTCTGACTTGACAACCAAGGTTGAAATCAACCCAAGAACAGCTGGATCTTAGCAGCTGTTGAATACACTGAGTGAACAGAGTTCCTTCATTTTTATTACTAAGAATCTTTTGGCCTTTCTGTTTTGGAAACTTCTCCCATGCTTTTTTTTTGATGCCATTTTCCATTTATTCTGTTTTTGATTCATTTCTGGAGATTTTTTTTTTTTTTTTTGTGTGTTGATTATATTAGCTGTTATTTATTCATGTATTATTGCCTGCAAAGCACTTCATAACTCTTAAGAAAAGCAAGGCTGTAGAGGTCTGATACATATTAAACCACAGAGAAGCATTGATTAAAGAGATGAACAGCTGAGATATGACTTGTCCAAGATGTTCTCACGATATCTTCCAGGGATCGTTGTTCTGGTTATAGTTCACTGAGACCACTGAGAACCTGTTCCCCTTTTTCTACCATCTTAAGGAGGATTTCCACAAACCAATCAAGTCAACTAATTGTACTTGTGTTGAATTGTAAGTAGTCAGTTGAGGTGGTTTGGGGATGTGATAAGAAGGTCTCCCAGACACCTCCTTCTGGAGTTTTCTGAATACATGCAACGGGTACTCTATGGGTTCTAGGAACAACCTGGGATTCGCCACAAAGAACTGGAGGATGTGGCTGGCGAGAGGGACGTCTTAGCTCCCTTAGGGCTGCATTAATCTCGGCGTCTTTCCACGTCAGAAATCAAAAGTGTTTATAGTTGTTCTGAACAACAATACTAGAAGGCAGAGTGAAAAGTTGAACATCATAAAGAGGGAGGAGAGGAGATGTGATGTGATCGGTAAAGTACAGGGGTAATGGTGCACATTTTGAGACAGCCTGCCCTGGAATGAATTCATAGTGAAATGGTGAGACACAGCCCCCAGCAATTGGAAAAGTGTGGAAGGAGGTGGTTTCTGATGCACTTCTGACAAGCACCTCTCAAGAACCATAGTGGCAGCTGTGCTTAAGCGAAAGAATATATATGGAAGGATTATTTTATGATTACTAACCCTAACAAGTCAGTGAATCAAATTATGTCCTATCAGACTTTGCATACAAACAACCATCAACGGTTCCTGACCAGCACAAAGCCTCTCATGGTCAGTTTTGACAAAACATTCAAAAGAACTACAGAGCCCCAAGAGCTATATTCGATTCCAGCAAGGGATCTTTGTTGCATGTCATACCCCTCTCTCTCCACCATCTCCTGTCTGTCTCTTCACTATCAACCATCCAATAATGGCAAAAATCTTAAAAAGAGAAAAGAAAAAAAAAGTACTAAAAGTAAATATACCTACTGTTCAACTGTGTTATATGCAAGTATTTTAGTTTAAAACATTCAATAATTAACTAAACTTATCAAAACTGTTCAAGAGAACAGTTTGGACGTTACGTCAAAGATTTCTATGTTTTGTGTTACAAAGAAAAAGAAAAAAGTGACAGATACAGAAGCAAAAACAATTCTGTGTTTTTTCAAAACACTGAATTTTTTGTAGCAGCCTGTCACAATATCAACATTGATCACCGCATATTTTTTTTTCCTCCTTTCTTTTATTTTTACTATTAAAAATGGGTAAAATCTTATTTCATTGTAGAGGTGTGTACAGCACATTGAAGGTTCAGTCATCCTGTGAGCGTCCCCCCAAAGAATGGACAAACTTTGAGATTGTTGGTGTATTGCTCTACCTGCAAAGTTATATAAGACAATCAATGAATTATACATATCAGAAATAGAACTGAAAATAAGATTTGAAATGCTCCAAGATGAAAGGCATCTGAACTTCTGAACAACATTCATATTCAAGACACCTAAGCATCAGGAAGGAAGCAATAAGGAAACCAAATGCTGCGGCTGGAGGGACTGTCCTGGTTCTAGTCTCACAAACAGAGTCCTCAGTTGGTTTAGATAGAGAACCTCATGTTAGAAAGACAGATTTAGGCTGTCTAGACTTTTAATCAATCAGGACACTCATTTAAAACTAAGCTTAATGTGCAGTGAATCATATGTGTTGGAACAACTTCAGTGATCCTCTGCATAGATCCCCCAAGCCTGTGGCACTCTATTGGACTGGAAGGATGCACTATTCCAACAGATATTCACTCATTTGTTGTTTTGATGATGGGATGGGAGAGTACTGTCTAACACATTGCTCCAAAATCTCCCATAGATGTTCAACCATTTAAAAACCCCTAAAACCCCCTAAAGGTCCACTTGAACCTCCTAAAGGTGAAATACAACCAGCTCAGTGGCCATCAGAACCTCCTGAAGTACCCTAAAATCTCCTCAATGCCAACAAGAATCTCTTTCAGGGCTCCTCAAACTTCATAAAAAGGACCCCCTAGAATAGACCCATATTCATTGTGAAATACAAAATATAATAATGCATTAAGACAGAAAGACTTTATGCCTTATGTTGATCCTTGGGTACCATGAAAATGCAAATAAGAACTCTTGGATAAAACTTGTCCATTACCAAACAGTCTGTGCACTTTAGTTCTGCCTATGTTTTAACATCGCATTCAATTGTACATTCATCATTTTAGCTGAGGAACATTGCTGATCCCAAACATGTTTAATTTGTTGATCATTTAAAAGTGGTGAAGGTAAGATCAGCCGTAACCTGAAAAATTAGCCACACTTAGAGGAGTCGTCCAGGAAGCAAAGCAGATTTGACTACTTGTCAATTGGGCTGCTAAATGTGTTGTCCGCCCAAGGGCTCAGAGAAAAACAGCACCAGTGAAGAAAAAAACACTCATCCAGCCTAATGAAAGATAGGTTGGTTATTACGAGTCATTAGAGTGGCTGGGCAGAGACCACAGACATTCCTCCTGACAAAACACACTCACACTGTGGTTGTCAACTTTAAATTTTTTCTGCTTTCTCTGCAGTTTTTGAGGTGCATATTTTTTCCTGTACACATTTAAGGGACATTTAACTAAAAAAAGAAAAAAAAAAGGACACTTTCTTCTCTCTATGACTCTTTGTCGTTTTCCATATGCGCCTATTTTTCGTGTCTGCCTCTTTCTGTATATGCTGTCTGTGGCTCTGTCTCTCTCTCACAGCAGATGGATGCTGGGTGGTCAGGCAAGGGTTAAGTGGTCTGTTCTACTAACTCTGCGTTAGGAGTCTGCTGGAAGCTACTGGTTCAGCCTTTAAATACAGTCGTTGACACATCCCAACAGGGGCTCGTAGCTGAGAGCAGCTGCTGACCCAAACTCAGGCTTTAAGGTAAGCTGGTGTGTCAGAGTCACACTGCTTTGGACAGCATGAAGGCTTTCTTATTCACCTGTATCCTGGTGCCATGGCTGGTGGCAGCCTCGGCCAGGAAGTTTGACCAGGACTCACAGCTGATACCGGGATCTCTACCTGGCAGGGAGCTGAATGGATACTACAATGAAAATTTAAAATCAAGGAGGGCTAGGGTAAGAACTATCTTATTTTCATCATGTTTATCTGCCAGAAAATGTTCTCTTTAATAACTCTGAAATGCATTTATTTAAAATACAATAGTATTATAAATACATTTTTCTGCAACTAGTTCAATGTCAACAAGTAAACAATCTTGACCAGTGATGTGTTTATGCCATTCACTTGCAGAATGACTTTCTGCAGAAAGACAATCTTTACAGTTGTGATTGTCACTGTTACATAATAGTTGATGGTGAGTTATTGAGGTGATACAGATACATTTATAAACACAAATAAAATTATGCAATCCTGTGTATGGAATAAAGTTAAAAAGGACAAATGTTCTGCTCTTTTTGATGTAGCACAGAGATACTGCCAAGGTTCTGGTCACACTATCTTTTAAGAGAAATTTCTGCTAACAGGGTTAGATAAGATAAAATAAGAAGAGATGATTAAAATGATGAAGAAATATAATATAATAAGATAAGACTTACTCCTGGAGAGGAGGGGTTAGGTCATGCATGATAGTTGGGAATAATCAAAATCAATAATCCAGCCAAATTCTTCTAATATCTAACAATCCACTTGGTTTAGTCACTTAATTTGGTTTCTCCAACGTAACAACAGAATCTGTCAGCACTTGACTTCATCGTCCTCCTGTGGGAGCTCACAGTTTTAACACGCACGCGCACGCACGCACGACGCACGCCACGCACGCACGCACGCACACACACACACACACACACACACACACACACACACACACACACACACACACACACACACAGCTCTAACTTGTTCTTACACCAGACAAACCAAACCCTGACTCAACCACGCTAACCATCAACTAACCACACTTTTCAAGAAATATTTGGATGAACCAAAACCAAAGTCTGGTCTGGTTGGTTTTTTTGGGAAACACTTGCAGGAAGTGGAAAAACCCACAAACAACCCAGAGAACGAGAGGGAAAGGAATAAGTGTGAAAGAATATGGCTATGAAATGTAACTTCAGTTTTAATGAGTCACAACTTCATTTGGGACCAGCTGTTTTTCATAGAAAATTCTGTCTGTGCCAGACCCTTCAGAGACAAGCCTCGTACTCTACTGCTGATACAGTTAACCACTTAGGCACTTAGGCTGCCTTTTTGTTTGATTATGTTCCCTTTGATTAGTTTGTGGGCCAATCAGTCACTTCAGAGACCAGCAGCAGGGTTGAGGTTGGTATTTCTCTCAGGGATACTGGATACTGGACTGAGAATGCACCAAACCTTAAAAACAACCTGTTTCCCATTCGCTCCTACATGCAACACTAGAGCATTACTTGTCATGGGTCATAGTGAATACAAAGATACTGCTAAAAGTTGTATTGACCAGGCATAGTTACTTATCCACAACAGCTAATTTATCAGGAACAACAGTGTCTGACATTAGAGCCAGCAACCAATAACAAACACTAAAATCATGCACACTGTCACAGTTAAGGCTGTAGCAAGCAAGTAGCCAGCTGCAAAATATAATGTGGACTGCTATCGAGAGCTCTGCTAGCCAACATATCCTGGAAATCAATGTCAGATTGGTGATAATGAGGACACTGAGCTGAGTCCGTTTTAGAGCTGACAGCAGAACCGAAAAAAGTTAAACCTGGCTAAACCTTTGCAGAAACGTCATCCATCATCTTTTGTAGAAACATCATCCACGAACAGACTGCAGCGGCCAATCAAATACATCCAAGCACAGATTCCTGATAAACGACTTTGTAAGATGAACAGTGTAATTATACTGTTCACCTGGAGACGGTGGAAATGGAGGATTAAGTTTTTATCGCTATGACAATGTGCAATTTGAAAAGACTTACTGAAACTGGACTTCCTGGATTCAGATTCATCTCACTTGTACTTTAAGCAGCACACGCCCACCAACATACACCCCTTGTGTTTTGTTTTTTTTTAAATGAATGGTCTTTACAGTCTGAATGCCCATTTAGCCATAGTTCATTAGACCCAAAGGGATCTCTAACAAACTAAACTCCTTGCTCTCCAACGATTAACATCACATATTTAGTTAACACCCTTACTGTTTAAAACAAATTCATAACAGTAAGACTTAATATCATCATCAGTGCAAACTGTAGAGTAAACCCGAGTTCAGGTCTACGTTCCTGTGTCTGCAAGAGAAAGTTATCAACTGTCATGCACTTGATCCAGTTTAACCGTTACGTCAAACCTACCCTGTGCACCTTGTCTAACTGTACGGGCTGAAGAATAGTTAACTGTACTAACCTCTCACATGCTGGTTTTCTTGACTCCAGACTGAGCCAAGCACAACACAGTACAGATATTTACACATATATAGTTTTGTTTAATCTTTATCTGGTGTGCACCCAAAATGTGAAACAGTACAATGTGTAAGCATTTTTCCAAAACTGATCTCCTAATCCTGGCAGTGTCAATGTTTTGCTCTAGCCAATAAGCTGGCCAGTATATGAACAGGCCATGTTTTCTCCTGCAGAGGGCCCTGGTTCCTGCTGATGAACCTGGTGACAGCCCAACCCCAGAGCCAGGAGAAGCTTTAGGTAAGAGAAAGACTTGGTTACTTCATCAGTAACTGGTCACACACACAAGAAAATCTGATTGAAAATTGCTGGCCTATTGTTTTGAGAGTTGCTTTATGGTTTTACGGTCTGGGAAAGACACTCCAAAACAAATTACAGATTAATTGGGGATGTTCTGGGTTTGAATCCAGGAATACATGTTGGCCAATAGCAATTCCTAAAACTTGGGTGGTTATCTCTAAAGATTTGAGCCAAGCACTTAATTAGAAACAGCTGTACACCTACGTATTCATGCAATTATCCTATCAACCAATCATGTGGCAGCACTGCAATGCATAACCTAATGCAGATACAATGCAGGAGCTCCAGTTAATGTTCGTATTGAACATCAGAATGGGGAAAAACTGTTATTTCAGTGACTTTGAACATGACATGATTGTTGGTGCCAGAGAGGTTGGTTTGAGTATTTCTGAAACTGCAGACCTCTTGGGATTTTAACACACAAGTCTCTAGAGTTGGCTGTAAGAATGGTGGGAAAAAAAGCATCTCAGAATGCACAACACATCCAACCTTGAGGTGGATGAGCTACAACAGCAGAAGATCACGTCAGCCTAGAATACAAATTTGAGGCTGCAGTGTGCACACACTAAAACTGGACAGTTGAAGACTGGTAAAACATAGCCTGGTCTGATGAATCTCAATTTCTGCTGAGACAGCATGAATTCATGGACCCAACCTTCCTTGTGTCAACAGTCCAGACTGCAGTCCTGAGTGTCACAGCCTATCTGAGTATTGTTGCTGACCATGTACATCTGTTCCTGGCCACAATTTACCCATCTTAGCTATTTCTAGCATGATAATGCACCATGTCACAAAGCAAAAGTAATCTCAAACTGGTTTCATTAACATGACAGTGAGCTCAGTGTGAGTTCAGTGTACCTCCCTTGTCACCAGATCGGAACAATGAGGAGTAACTGATCAGAGGTTCTGAGGTGTCTGAAAGCAGAATAGGAACTAAGGATATTGGGGAAGTAAACTGGTGGCAATTTATGAGTCTTTGCTGCCCATGAGGAGTCTCACTGCTGCATTTTGAAAAAAAACTGAAGGTGACCAGGGGATGACTGACTCCCACACAGAGAGTTACATTGGTGAAAATTTCAAGTAATAAAAGTCTATAAGCACAACAGCTCTCTGTTGACATAAAGGTAAGCAAGACCACAGACGAGTATTCTGAAGAAGGCTTGATGTTTTGTGCGGTGACTCTGTGTTGCAGACCTTCCCACCTGCCTGCTGTGTGTGTGTCTGACTGGCTCAGTCTACTGTGAGGAGGTCAGTCCAGACATGACTGCTGTTCCCACGCTGCCTAAAGAGACGGCCTACCTGTATGCCCGCTTCAACAAGATCAAAAAGATCAGCACCAAAGACTTTGCTGATATCCGTAAGTCTAAAAACTATCTCTATCACAACCTGTTGACTGCTGAGCCGAGTTTGACCATAGCCATGCAGTCAAACACTGAAAATTTGTTGCGAATGCTATGTCAGATTCTTCGGTTAGCTAATCCTACTGAAATCAAAATTTTACAAAATGTATACTGTATCCTCTCATTTAGAGAAAGTCTTTGTATAGCTGCTTATGTTAAAAGGGGCACTCCACCACAGTTGATCAGTTTACTAGTCCTAGTCGATCTGTGGAAACAGTTACAGTAGCAAGTGAACTCTTTGGAATTACCTGGTTTTCTGCAATAATTTGACAAAAATGTTGTGCTTAAACTAATAAAAGAAAATATAATACGAAACACCCATTAAACATTCACGTCTCATGCTGGTGAAAAAGAATAAGTGAACCCTTGGATTTAATAACGACTCAAACCTTCAAACAAGCATTTCTGTTAATGTTCAGGAGGAATTTTGGATCATTCTTCTTTACAGAACTGCTTCACCTCCAGCATATAATTGTAACTTAGATGTAGATCTAGCCATATTTTAAGACAAATTTGTATAGATGAAAGCAGGTAAGGGTTCACTTACATTTTCTTGCCACTGTAGATAATGCCTATAGCTCATATTGGTGTCATAGTGATGTCATCAGGATGATCTCATCTTGGTCTTGGAGATTACCAATAACAGAAATGAAGCGTTACAAACTGGTGGAGGTGCTTGAAAGATGGGGGAGTTTACCATGTCTATAAGGTGGGTGTTTATCATGTCCATGTCCCTCTCAGGCCCTGAGGGTCTAATAGAAAGAAATTATCAAGTTGTATTATGAAAAATGTAGGATGTATTGTTTTGGGATCTTGACCCAAACCTGGAATCAAAAGTCTGGATATATTGGTCAGTGCTGCACAGATTTTATTCATGAGACAAGATGAATCACTGTTTGCCTGTATATGTATGATCTGTATCATTTGTAACCAAATAGACCAAAAAGTGTGAACTGTTGAAAAAATATTTAATGCAAAACAAAAATGCAGAGGGACACTAACATTTAATCAACATCATCATCATAAATATTTAATAACTGAACTTTTTTCCATCTGCTAACAGTGACTCTGAAGAGAATTGACTTGACGGGGAACCTGATCTCAGAGATTGAAGATGGGGCATTTTCTAAGCTCACCCTGCTGGAGGAATTGTCTCTGGCTGAGAACAGACTGGTCAAACTTCCTATGCTCCCCTCCAAACTCACATCCTTCAACGCAAACTACAACCTCCTCAAAACCAAGGGTGTTAAAGCTAATGCTTTCAAGGTACACATCACTGCCTCTCTCAACTTTTTCAATTAGGAATGTCCAAATCCAATCTGAAAGATGAGGAATGGAGCAAGTAGAAGCGTTTTTGCTTTAAATGGCCAGAATTATATCTATCTACTATTAGTGAGTGATCTGCAGAGAGATACAAACCAAAAAACAAAAGGTTCAATGAAATAGCCAAACTTACAGCAAGCCATGTGAGCGCTGCTCAGAAATGAAGACTGGTGAACTACACCTACTAAAAGATACTATGCAACAACACTTCAGGTTACTGATCCTCTGTTGTCTTACTGCAGAGATTTCAAACATCACATGAATTAGTTCAATTGTTCAACATTTTGGGAAATACACATTTTCTTTCTCCCAAAAATGAGATGAGAAGTTTGTGACAAAAACTGCTTTACATTTTTGTTTGTGTCTGGATTAAACATGTTAATTAATGTGTCTTTGGGCTAAATTAAGATAAACCCATCACGATTCCAGCACCATCCTACATCTTCAATCTTTTCATCTCACTCTCAAAAATGTTAATGGTTCGATATAACTGGTAACCACCTCTTTGCTACTTCTAAAGTATATTTGGTTTAAACCGTGTTGGGATTATAGTGAGGTATGCTGTATATATTTGCAAATCCATTTGTATTTCCCACACAGTAATCGGACAACTAATAACAATTGTTTAATCTACTGGGTGTCCATGGCGTGAATTTGTTTCCCCAATAGAAACTGACCAAGTTGGCCACCCTGTTCCTGGCCGACAACCAGCTGGAAGCTGTTCCACACATCCCGGAGAGCGTTCGGACCTTACATCTACAGGTTTTTATCTTTTACTGCTAAAATATATACAAATTAATTGACTTCAGAAAGTAAAATAAAGTACAAAATAGAATACATTGTTTATTTTGATCTAAATCAAGATTAAAGAACAATTTTCTCAAATCTGATACTGTGGATTTTGACTCTACCAGCTAAGATTTTATTCAATGTTACGTTTTTGACATTATTTTAATTTCTTCCAGAACAACAACATCACTGAGGTCAGCAAAGACACCTTCTGCAGGTCTAATGACACCTACTACCTACGACTAAGCCTCAGTGAGGTCCGTATGGATGGTAACCCCGTGTTGTTGTCCAAGTACCCCGACAGCTTCACCTGTATGAAGGTACTGCCTATCGGACGGTACCGCTGAGGAGCCAGAAACTTTACTGTAGCCCCTTTGTTGGTGACGAAACAGTTATCCCACAACACTGGGGGTATACCGTGACGTTATGGATTTTGGGGCACTGGTCATGTTGTCAATGTTTTTACTTCAACAAACATACAAACAGCTTGTGACATTGTCAGGTCGAAATGAAACCATTCACCAGACTGAAGGTGTAGAATTGAAGGAGTTTCTCTACTCTGGCCTTCATCAGTACTACTGTCTGGTGGAATATCAGGCATTTGTCTGCAACAGCGTCTGCAGGAAGCTGTACATGAGAGTGGTTGAGAGTCTTAGTCACATGAATTGGTACGAAACCACCTGAGAAGGTTTGTGAAGTCCTCAGTATGCTTCAAACCAAAGTTATATAACCATGCATAAAATCAGTGTTTCTACTAGTTATATCCTCACTGAAAGGTGGGGTGAAAAGCCTACCACTATAGCCTCAGAGTGGCTGCATCCAGCTCCCTCCTTGATCTCTCTCTAACATCTCCGTTTTGCATCGTGTTGTAGTCTTAATGTGAAACAAATGGACTTAATGCGCACAGTTTCAGTCAGCCTCTCCTTAAAGGTGTTTTGGAAAAAGTGATTGCAGAGCTTAAGAAAGAGGTTCAAACCCTGCCTACTTTCACACCTCCACACACCTGATCTATCACTATGAAAGTGGACTTATTTGTCAGTTTGTCTGTTTTAGAAGACTTACGAAAACTGTGCAAACAGCCATCCGAAAGGGGGCTTCAGGTGCTAATAATAAATTTCACAAAACACTTTGTTTGAAGCATATTGAAGCATTCACAATGTGCCTGTATGTGACAGATATCCTAAAAGATTTGAAAACACCACAGGTGAGGTGCCTTCTGAATGTCTTTTGCACAGGTGATGTAATGCCAGTAGAACTGATGTAACCCTGATGTGAATGAGTAGAGAAGCATCAACACCTCCACAGCGACAGTCCAATTTATTGTTTCATTTTGACCTGACGCTGTACTACCTGGATGAATGAAACTGCTTGTGACACTGAACCAACACACAACTTCAGCCACAAGCCAACAGGCTTGCTTGTAACTACCTGTACCCATTAGTTTAAAAACACAACCTGCCAATGTTTTCACACTCTTTGAGAAATGAATTTTAAAATAGAAGCATTTTGTTGTTATAAGTAACTATAAGTTGTAAAGAAAAAGAAATTTAAATTCAAAATATTACTGCAACCTTCTAAATAGCTTTGGTGCTTTTACTGATCTAAACAAATATCTTGTGCAGTGTAAAATCCTTCATTTCAAGGTTTTACATTAAATTAACAACAAAATGTGATAGACGTATCTAATGAAGAATACTACAGCACGTAAAATTTGTCCACAACCAGCTTATAATGGACCCACATTTTCACCTTGCTTGTTGTGGGTCAACTGAGATTTCCATCGGACAGACATCATTGCAAGTACAATACATGACCAAAGTGCATGTGTGCATTAATGCTGTTGCAGAATAAAATTTCCCAGGCTAAAACTATAGAGAAAATGAGTTTGTGAGAGTTAGGCTTGCTAAACAACAACAATATTTCTAGACTTTTTGGGTGAACCTCAATTGAATTTAAATATTCTTTTGCAATACGTTTTTACTGTCCTGATGACAGTAGGAGAGAAGATGCTACAGTATCTTCCAAACAGGATTTAAGTCAGTTCAGTCATACAAAAGGAATACTTGATACCTGCATGCTGATTTTTAGTCTTATTTTCTTCAACTGAACCTTGTCTCGTGACAGTGGAAAAAGTTTCTGAAATGGCACTTAAAGAAAAATAGCCTGTGAGCATTGTTAAAATTTCTCATTACATTGTTTTTATGTTGCTTTGAGATTTTTTTCTTTTCAGACTATTGATCCCAGCTGACTCAGACAGCTGATAAACATTATATTGTCTTGAACTGCCAGCAGGAATAGTCTGTAAATACTTTTCTCATTAAGTGTTGTTTCAGAAAAAAATTACTAGAAATAAACACAACACTCTGGGCTTTGCTCTACCATTGTGTGAATTAATTTCACTCTTAATTATTCCATTACTAATGCTTCTTGATAAGGGCAATGGCCATGTAGACTTGTCCAGCTGCAGGCTTTCTTTAGTATTCTGTGACTTAACTTCGCCTTGTTCTTTTTAATTTATAGAGACCAGTTGAAATGACCTGGGAAGCAACATATCTATGAACTATAGTAATGTGAAAATTACTCCTCTCTCTTTTGTCTTCTTTTAAAATGTCTTGCTTGTGTCCCTAACTCTTCCCTTCCAGTAATAAAAATTACTTAAGAAATTATTACTGATGTGAATAAGATAGTGGTGTACAGGAAGATGTGTATGTGACATGGCTATGTTTTTAAGATATTTTAATAAAGTTAAACTTTTTTAATTAAAATGTGTTTAGAGTCATGAGTCATTGTTGGAGTCTGTTTCACACATAAGGATGAATGTTTTTAATATACCTATTTCAGAAAAAGGCAAACCAACCAAAAAAGTACAACTCTACTTTACACAGGGGGCTGTGGCCGTACCTATAGCAGACCTGTTGCAGCTCTTTATGGCATAGGTTATAATTTCACCTGTAGATAGCACCAACACAACATGATACAATCTGGTCATGTTTCATACATGACCAGGTTGTATCATGCTTTCCCACAGTAACTGTATTTACATTCCTTCATTCACTTTGTGATATACTTAAGAATAATAAATTGAAGGCTTGCCTTCGTTAAAGGTTTGAGTGGAGATGTCTTTGTTCGATTTGTATTTCTGAAAGCAGGAGATAACTAACGATTTCTTCAACTTCCTTCATTTTGTCTTCACTGTGAACAATCTCCACCCAGAGGTGTAGTTACATTTTTGAGGAAATGCACCATCAGCTATTGGGTAGCAATGGACCCTACAAATGTAGCCACCATATGATATCCACGTAACACAGAACTTTCCATAAAATTTACTATAGCCATGATACACCTGAAAATGAACAGCTGTTCTTGTCAAAGTATAGAAACTCAAGCCCACATACAACTTAAACATGAAATGTTCTTAAAACTGCACAGTACCAAAGATTTCAACTGAAAGAACAGTACAAGATACTGATAATGGGAGAGAATTATAAAGACAATTTGACATAATTTGGTGTACTTTCGATGACAACACAACCTCCAGATTCGAAATGTGAATACAGACATGTCTATGAGATGAATTAGAAATGGTATCTCATTAGAGCTCTAGCTAAAATTGTTGATATTGATATCGCCATCTTTAAGCCACACTGCTAGCACAACAAAAACAACTGACTGACTGGCTGACTATAGAATCTGCACGTTTATGCGTCTATATGCAAAGACATTTAACACCAATATTTGGATGGAGATATGCTAATCAGTGATTGGCCACATGCTTATAAATGTCTGTGGTTTCTAACGGGTATGTAGCCAACCATCCTCTGCAGTTCTGTATTCCTAAAGTCACTGCCTGCTTAATGCCGTGGTCTACCAGTAACAAAAATGTTAAGACTCCTGGCCTGGACTGTATGTGAACCCTTTGTTTTATATTTTTATTTGTTTATTCCTCTAAATACATGTTCATGTCTGAGTGTCATTAAAGCATGGAAATCAGCATACAAGGCACTGCCCACATTACAGCAGAACAGTTACAATGGGAATTACATTTTTCCATAATAACACTGAAGAAAATGCAAGTAAAGCAAAATAAGAGTTTAGAGCACACAGGCAAGTATGGAAAATGTGGGTTAATCCTCCTTCAGCCCAGCCAACTTGGCAGAACTTTACATTCTCCAAGTAAACAGGAGAATAGGTTCCATATTGCCTCTGCAGCTTGATTTACTATTTGACATTTTAGTGCTCCCTCTTCAATGAAGTCCCACCCTGATATTTACCATGCCCACACTAATTCACACCCACTGCATTGACCATAATTCTTCTGCTCTTTCATCAGCCTGAATATACGCAGTTTGCAAACATTAGCCACTGTATAATGTGGCACTTTTCACGGAGGTGTCAAGAGACATCTACATATCTAGAGTATCTATCTATCAGTATCACATCCTATCCATCTATCTATCTATCTATCAAATTGTATTGCATCCCATCTGTCTATCTAGCTACCTACCATTTAAGCTTGAATATCTTGAGTATCTACCTGGTAAATCTATCGTAGTAATCTCTATCTATATCAGCCATCAATCAAGTTGCTGTATCTCTCTGCTTACTTATTTTAGGCTTGAAAATTAAATATTTCCAAACTATCGCTCATCTTGCAGCTGTCCAGAAGAACAGCATTGATCAGGATTTCTATATCTTGGTTTGTAAGTCGCCACTGAGTAAGCTAACCAGGGCATCTCTGTGGCATCACAATGCTTCATTTATGGTATGTTGTGACACATTTCACCTTTATCAAAAAGAAAAGTACCTGGAACTTTTAATTCCAGGTACTTTTCTTCAGGAACTAAAAGGTTCCTGTGGCCCATTTGGGTCTGCGTTTCCACCGCAGACTAAAGTCCCAGGAGGATTATGCAAAATTACTAACTGACCTTATTCACAGCATTTTGAGGACATAACATGAACGAAAATACGGGACAAATTGCGACCCGTATATATTCAATACAAGATGCAGCATTTTATTTTCAAATACAGGACGATCCCGTACTATACGTGACGGGTGGCAACCCAAGCCACTCCAGTTGTTGTGGTCCTTTATTTTATTTATTTGAAGTCCTGTTTCAGTTTTTTTTTACCTTCTCCCGGACCTGTTTTGCGGTGTGGAGAATGTGTTCGCTCGCTCAGTGCTCTCTCACTGCAGACTTTTAAACATCGCAGGTGAAATAAAATGCACCAGTCAGAAATGGACGATACTGCAGACCACTCCCCCACTCCCCCACTCCCCCTTTTTCGAGGATCGATCAATTACCCCAGAACTAAATTTAGACCATGCTGCCCGCGGTCGAAACCGCATAGTTCCTCAAAAGGTTCCTGGTTGCTGGGAAAAGCTCAAGTCCTGTGTGTGGAACAGTGGGTGGTAAAGGAAGCAAAGCCACTGTCTGAGTTTTACTGCTATTTTGAAATGTAAAACCTGAAGCCAGTCCATTCTGGGCCACAAAGAGAAACCCAGACCTTCAGGTTTGACCCTCAGAACTCTAGTCGGACAAGACAACATGGCTCCTCCACTGACAGATAAGGGTGAAACCCTGCAGGAGTCAAGCAGGAGGTTAAAGAAGAATTGCAACCTGAAGCTTACTTTTTTAGTCTGCCTGCCTGCCCTCACACTGACTGATGGACCATCTGTTCTCCACACTGGTGGAATTCAGGATGTATCATGTCTTTGGACTCATATATAAACAATTAAAGAGAAGCTGTGGAAATCTCTTTGGGCCAAAATACCGCCATGTTTTGCCATCCTACTGCCATGTCATCAGTGGCGTTCAACATGTTGCGTAGGAGGAAAGAGTGTGAGCACAGGAAAGAGTGTGTAAAGGTGAAGTAGCCAGTTTGAAGTCCATTTCCAAGAAGGTTTGTCTTCACTTACCTGGAAGTGCTGGAAGGTTCTGCACCGGTCATCAAATCTGTCTGCGTAGGTCCTTAGAGTCCTGAAGAACAGCAAAAGATCCCTGCTTTCCTCCACCCTGAAATCACATTGGACACATCATTAAGATTGTTTTTTAAATGCCCCAGGTGTCTGAATGGTAACATTACATGGCACATAACTGCCACGTCCACTGTTTAATACCGCCTGGGGCGTGGGTTGTATGTCATGCCCCTCTCTCTCTCTCCTGTCTGCCCCTTCACTGTCAGATGCCCATTAAAGAAATATTACAACAACTTTCTTAAGCAAATGTATTAGTGCTGCCTCCACCAAATCCCACAGGGTGCTATTGTAATCCATCAACACTGAACTGCCTGAGGTCTCAACATGTGGCCAGAAAATGTTGATAAAAGATATAATTCTAAAAAGAGTAAAAAGCCAAACTCTGTGACGCTGTACTTTACAGCTTGGCTTTGAGCTAAATGCTAATCTCAGCACGTTAACATGCTCCCACTGACGATGTTAACATGCTGATGTTTAGCCGGTATGTGTATCCATAGTCACGTGACAACCAGGTATTTGCTGCCAGCCAGGTACATAGTTTAGTATGTTAGCATGCTGTCATTTAAAATTACAACAAAGAAGCAGCTGAGGGTGATGGGCAGGTCATTTATACTGCAGCTATTTGGTCATAAACCAAGGTGTTTTTGACAAATTAAAATTTCATCCCGGTGGTGGCACTAAAGTAAAAGGTCACAGGATTATCAAAGTCATGAGGATAAATCGTCTTGGAACCACAAATCTACGTCTGTGCAAAGTTTCTTGACAATCCATCTGGATTAAACTTTGAATGCTGACATGGCAAACTAAAGAAAACCAGGAAAAGGGTTTGTGACGAAGAATTTGATTTTCACTCAACAACATGAAAACTTTAAACAAGTAAGTTGCTATTATTCAACTATGCTAATTGAGCCAATGTGCTATTTTTTATATAAAAAATCTACAGAGGCAGTTGATCTTCACTGCAGTCTGTCTATGTCTCACTATTCCAACAATGTGGACAAACAGCAGGCTCAAGTATGTCATGATGAATTGACTTTAGGGTGACCTAAATTAACAAAAGAATAAAAGGTCCTTTTAAAAAGGTGTTATAATTAATACAATATGTCCAAATAGCATGACCTCGTTGTATCTCCAAATGCTCTACTATTCATACAAAAAACAAGCAGAGTAAATCCTGGACTACCACCCCAAAAACTGAAAAAGATGCTTCCTGATATACAGCATGCTATTTATTACAATGACACCAGCAACAAAAAAAAAAAAAAACTTTGTTTTGGTTCACTCTGTCTAAGTGAACCTGGGACATTCTGCTAAAGGCTTTCCAGAGTTTTCCATGGGGGCCCGGGGCTAGACGGCAGTCGGGTAAAGTTTCCAGACAACTGTTATTCCACACAGAGCTGATGGAAACATGGCAGCACCCTCCCATATAATGGAGCCCGACCAAAAAGACACACAGAGAGAAAGAGAGAGAGAGAGAGAAGGGAAGGGAGAGAGGAGAAGACTGAGAGAGAAGAGAGAGAGAGAGAGAGAGAGAGAGAGAGAGAGAGAGAGAGAGACTGATCCCTGGTTTGGTATTGCTGTATTAAACTCATTTGGTCCCACCGGTTCTGAATGATGCAGATTGATTATATCATCAGTGTAGAACCAATCAGACTATATTGACATTAAATGTAAAAGCCTTATCTTGTAGATTCTAATAACGTGTGGGCTTGGAAAATACTAAAGGCTTTTAGTTAATCATCCCAAAGTAGCAGTAAAATTTGTTTACAGCAAACAGTGGAAAAAAAGATCAAATTAAACAAACGACTTTTTGACTAGGATAATTAAACTGTGCTGGATACTCTGTGCTACAGACACATTTTGGGTGGTAACAAAAGAAAAAAAAAAAAAAGAGCTCAACACCGAAATGAGACATTGATGCCTGTGATTGGAACATATGAGAACTATTTGGTCAAACAACTCAAACACAGCCAATGCAGCCCAGTCCCAAGTTATGTTGAAGAATTAATCCACTGTCTCACTGAGCAACAAGCTAATCATTGGCTTAGATTTGGTATCATGATTGTCTGTTGAGCACAGATTCCTAGCTGCCTTAATTTTGCATTAATGAAGAAAACAACAATAGCCCAGTTTACTAACAGGGAGAAAAGTGTACAAGACACTAGATCAAATATTTAATATTTTCCCCACTTTCGAACGGTAAATTTCTAATAAAAACAGACAATTCTGATCGATATCCAACAAGACCAACAAGAGCAAGATATCTTAACACCTTCTGATATGAAATTACTATGATATTTGCTTTGAATGTTCATGCTACCCACAAGATGATTCCTAATGTTCTGTTCGCTCCTTGATTTTTTAGTGTCATTATCAACCGTTATTAATATAATGGGTAGATCGCCATAAAATGAACTGATCACCTTTATGTTCCCTCAAAGATGAATCCTTTGATTTTAATGACTTTGTGCCCTTCAAATAATTGGATGTTGCAGCACTACCCACAAACGAAATCACAGATTCATTGACACATTCATGACTAAACATCAATACTAGTTTAATTACATTGTCCAAAATATATGCTTGTATACTCTGCAAGTTTTGCCTACTGTCTTGAAAGTAAACAGCTGAGCTGACTGATATCTCTAGCTGCTGTTCTGACCTCAGCACAGTTTGGCTTCACACTATCAGCCTGGCTTGGACCAGGAAACACAAACTGTACTGCAGGACCCCGACAGCCTGGATCAGTGCTTCATCAACTGCAGGCTCGCAGTCAAAATGGTTCATGGATCAATTGGCCTGAATCCCCACATGACAAGAGCAGCGCTGTGTTTTGGGATGGTTTGAGATCATCCAGTCTGCCTCGAGTCCATCCCACAATGCAACGCATCAACAGAGCTTCCAAGTCAGAGTCACCTGCTCACTGTTGGGCTAGAAGAGTTTGATCTGAAAACTGTTCTGCTGATAAAGAGTTGAATAAAAGAGATACATTACACTGAAGAGAACACGTAAACATGATTTCCTTTAGCGTGTAAAGATCTTGTGCGAAAACATGCACAAGAAACTATACCTCGCAATGGCTAACATATCAATTGCGACATGAAGCGTCTCTTAAGTTTTCTGGTCTATTATCAGCCGTCTTACATGGGTGCCCACAACACAGCAATGTGGCCCTGACTGACACTGACAGAGGACTGAAGCTGAACTGACAGGCGGGTTTCACTACACAGCCTGTGTAAGTTAAGAAACCACTTCAGGGAGACAGGAGGACAGATGTATCTGCTGAAGAAAAATAAACAAATAAAAATCTGATAGTCAGTGTTTATCTTTAACAATTCCAACCAGCTTCATTTAACAAAGATTATCAGTCAGATCTGGACTGTAAAACTCTAACTCTCTCTCACACACACACACACACACACAAAAAAAAAAACAGAGAGAGAGAGAGAGAGAGAGAGAGAGAGAGAGAGAGAGAGAGAGAGAGAGAGAGAGAGAGAGAGAGAGAGAGAGAGAGAGAGAGAGAGAGAGAGAGAGAGAGAGAGAGAGAGAGAGAGAGAGAGAGAGAGAGAGAGAGGCAGCAGTGTGTCAGAATCATTATCTCCAGTATTTTTCCATCTGTTTCTTGCCAGATTCTGCAGACTGGACCATACAATCCAGATGTGGTTTGGCCTCAGATATAGAGCAAATCAGACTTCTGCTCTGTGGTTCTGATCCACTGGCAGAGCAGACACTTTCTGGCAGATTGTGTTTATAAGGACAGAAAATGCACCTGAGCACATAACACATACAACACACACGTCTATATAACTGGGACGGTGCATCACTTGGACTATATAGGAGTCAGGAACAAAGCAGGTGCTTCTGATGCCTAGGTCAACACTGCCCAGCAGGAGTGAGACTGGAGTTCACCACAGATTCAAGGCAAACTGTTTTGTTGCATGGTGACAGACTCCAAATATATATATGTTGTATATTGTCAATAACCATAGTTGACACAAGCAGCAGCTGCAGGTGACCCTAAATATTTTGTGGTTCAGCATAGATATAGAATTTCAAAAGTTCTTTGCTATTCTTTGTTTAACAGTTCCAATCGCACCCACAGCCACAACCACACAGCCCACATCACTGTGGCTTGAGCAGATTTGTTTGACACTGGCATCTCTCTAGCAACATACACAAACAATGCCTGAACCTTCATAAGATTCAATTAGTGAACAATTCTGATTAGTGCACAGAAATACCTGACATCACCTTTTTCCAACTGAGCTCCACCCACTTTAATCCAGTGAGAACAGCATAGAGAAAATGCACAAATACAGAAATCTGTCATGTGAAATGCTGAACCGTAAAACCTCATTATGACTGTAAAAAACTTGTGTGAGTATGTAAAAAACAAATGAAACATGACAAGAACAAGTGTACTGTGTGTAATGCTAAATGCTCCTCCAGGGCAGAGGAAGATGAACAAACCTCCACGTGCTAACTCACTTTACCCGTCTGTAAACTTATTTTGTGTTTATAAATGATAATAGAAGTAGAGCAGATATATTTGTTTGAGTTTATCTCATCACAGATTTATCAATATCTGTTTCGGCTGATCATCAACAAGAAATGTAAATACAGAAATATCAAAGATATGCTTGAGGTCAGGTGTCTTAGTGACATAGTTTGTCCACCAGAGGGCGCTGACACGTTCAGCTCTACACCGTAAAACGTTCTGCATATCTGTCACTACACATCTTGGTCACTATTCTTTGAAAATCAATTTTAAGGGATTTAAATGTTTATGTTAATGTGTTTCCGTTAAAGAATTCATATCAGCTAAAATGTTGTTACTGAAATTTTTAAACACTAAAATATCAATTTCTAAACTCCAGTATCCGTCGGGCTTAGTTCTAGATGGTTTGGTGTCATGATTATCCGTTCAGTACAAAGCCCTCATTTCCTCCACTGTGCACTGACAAACAAGCAGTGCTTATACACTGAATTTTGACATTTTAGAATTAATACTTATAATTAATACTTAATTTTTCCACATTCAGATGGTGGTTTAAATGTCTCATAGAAAGTGAGAGCTCTGCTGTTTACCCTACTGGAACTGAGCAGAGTCCTCCTGACTGTAGACAGAGGGCACAAAAGGTCAAGTGTTACATTACGCCTGTTCAGATTAAAGGTGAAACAGAGATTCTGTGCTGAAAGATCATCTGTAACCCACTGGCTTTGATAATAATTTACATTTTTCCTGCAGTGTAAAAAGCATCTGGTAGGAAAGAAAGAGTGACTAAAGCTCCAGACATCACAGAGTAAACCTCAAGACCAGATGCAGCTCAGGTATTTTTTAATCTTTTTTTTTATGAACAATCATAGCAGGAAAAGAACAGGTGTAACTAATATTAATGATGGCTGCGCTCCATTTACAGGTAGGCATGCCAGTAAACTAGCACACCTAAATGGAATGCAGCCATCATGAGTGTAACGAGTCACACCTGTGTTTGACATGTCAAACGATCTGACGTGAGACAGGCTTGTTGTTTGTGAGTGAAGAGCAAACAGAGCGAGAACGAGTCAAGGTTTGAGTGAGGAGGTTCAGCTGGATGAGAGGCATTTGTAGTTTGACATCTTCTTCTTCTACTTTAAACACTTGAGTTAAACTAAACAGACCGCTTCATCATGACAGGAATAATATCCAATATTAAATATGTAGCGTTGGACTGAGCATGACTGAGTAAATAAGTTACAAACTGATGAGGGTGATTGGCCAGGGAGAGGAGGTGAGAGTAAGAGGGGTTTGACCTTCTCTCTCAAGCTCTATTTTTTCATTCAGGACACAACTTCTGATGTGTAAATTCAAGCGCAAAGGCATGAATGTCTGTTTGAATGTGTCATCATCTCGTTATTGAAACGATTGTGGCGTCTGCGATGAACGAGTGTGGCTGTTCAGATCAACTATAAACGGTTTTGTCTTCCACTGTGGGGGACAAGACATCACACATACTAGTTCCTTCATCCCAAAGGTGTGGGGTTCCACCACAGGTCACTCATTCACAACTGAAACCCATTCGACTGACAATGCATTTCCTGTTTGATGTGATGTCCTACTCAGAGGTCAAAGGTTACCTGGGAACTTTAATTCTCAAATTCCAGCAAATAGAAACAGTGTCTTATGCTATTCCTTTGATTGATTAATGTTGATTAGAACATGTTAAATTCTTATCCAAAGAAAACTCCTGATCACCATCACGTGGAGGTTGATCACTGTGAAGAGGTTTGTTGTTGAAGAAAAGGTTCTTTCCAGATACACGTGTCAACTCACAGAGGGAACTCCAGCTGGAAGAAAGTCAAATCATCTTAACATGATGCAGTGTTAGCTCTTACCCAGAGAGGAAGCTGCTGAAGTTCTGCAGGTCAGTGGCATCCATCACCACATTCAAATCAATGATTGTCCTCTCAGATCTCTGACCCTCCTGCAGGACAAACACACTATCAATTACTCTTTTAACAAAAACACATTGAGTCACTGTAGCTAGTTTATTTACCAGGAGATCCAATGATTTCCAACACAAATGACACACACACAGTATATTTTACCATCACCAGATATAAACCTTCCTTGCACAGTGGTTTAAAAGTTGCTTGCATAAAGTTATAAGCATTGTTTGTTCATTTCTGTTGTTGATGTATCTCACAAACACTAAGTCTGTGCCATCAGCTGTTTTCTTGGCATCTCTGCCTGCTCCCACCTGTCTATGTCCTCTTACTGGATTAACTTTACTCTTATAGAGTTTATTTACAGTTACGGCATTAGTTTCATTCAACTCTGTTTCCCTCTGCTTGATGTTTTCCCTTAGACTGACAAAACTTCCCTTTGCTTTACAGCCAATTTCAAAACTCAGCTTCGTCTGTAAACTTTGTCTGCAACTAGATGAGGAGCAGAGCTGTGATGAAGAATAATGTTTTTCAGGCAAAGAAGAGTACACTGTAGATTTAACAGGAAGAGACAAGAAGTCAAGGGCTGCATATTCATTAGAGGAACAATATAAGTCTAATATCTGAGTGCTGGAACTATATAACAACAGTGAAAACGCTGGCTCTGGTTTTGGTCTTCATACAGGCACCATGGTACCAAACATGGCAACTTTAGTAACAACAAGATTTCAAGAAGCTGCACACAGTCACCGCATTGACTACTATTCTACAAGAAACAGGTCCAGTACATAACTGCCCCTAGGTTTTACATGTTTCATACAACATGTTAGTTTATCCTCTTTAGAGGTGCTGGTTGGTTTTTTTTTTTTTTTTTTTACTTTCAACAGAGCCAAGCTAGCTGTTTCCCCCTGCTTCCAGTCCTTATGCTAAGCTAGGCTAATCGTGCCCTGATTCCAGCTTCATCTGTAACACAAAGACATCTGATTTTTATTCTTTTGAACATCTCATTTTCAAGAGGAAAGATAACCAGCATGTTTCCCCAAAATGTTAACACATTCCTTTAAACATCCATGTCCATTGTTAAAAAAATAGGAGCTCCACATCTGGGGATCCATAAATCATTTCTGTGATTGGTCCCGAATGGGTTACAACACTAACAAAACATTTTTAAGATTATTGGAAGTTGTACTAGCCCACATTGTGTTGCAATAAAAAATGTAAATATTAATCAAAGTATAATAAAGGGCAAGAAGACTGTGTGTGTTTACAAAATGTCTCCGTTTCCAAATTACACAACCAAATAATTAATGTTTTTATCAAAACAAGATAAAACTTCACAAGAAAAAATATAGTTTTAATGGTACTTCATGAGCCAGGCAGAAGGAGTCACTCAACAAAACCAGCTGTTCTGGTGGTCCAGTTAGAATGAAAACCAGAAGTCATGAGGGAGGTTTACAGATCACAATAATGCAGAATCTCCCAACAATAAAATCACAATTACTGCTGACTTCACATGTACAATGTTGGCTGATGTCAAGGGTCAACCATTATTTTCTTTAACTGTGACAGTCCAAATTGAAATCTTATTCTTTGATCAGATAGTTACTGATTTAAACCAGAATTTTGAAGCTGTATTTTATTTAGACAGATCGTGTACAGCTGCTTGTGTTTGAACAACATTTAACAAAAAGAGGTTTGAAGAAAAACATGTTTACATTTCTCAAAGGTATGGACTGAATAACTGTTGATGTTGGTTGACATTTTGGCATTTAATATTCTAGCAACAGAATAATTCTTGTGCATGAACAATGAAAGGTGATATAAAAAATGTCGTATTTATAACTGTCTCTGATCTAAACTTTCACTTAGTGGAAGAGATCATTAAATAGAAAAACACATTTAAAAGGCTGTTCTTTTATACTGAAGAGATGACATCTAAACCTGAAAAGTTATTGTTGCCAGCAGCACCAAAGTGACTTCACCTGACATTATTTCGCAGTTTAGCATGATGTCTGATTGGATTCCATTCGAGAGTGATTTTTTTTTTTTTTTTTTATTGTCAAGTGGTTTTAGTGTCTGACTGCAGCTAAAATCTAATCTGTGCACTCAGTGCCCCGTCAGTGATCCACTGACCGTGGCTCTCTGTCTCTCTCTGCTGGCTCAACACAGCACCAGCACCTACCAAACTACAGTCCTATCAACGTTTTGTTGCATAAATATGGAAACTAGGCAACATTTTCCAAAGACAATCAGAGTACTCTTATCATAGCTAAAACATATTTTAATACATTTAGAGAGGCTAAAGACTCCAATCAACCAACTCTACTTGTCAGGATAGTGCCTTGGTGAGGGGTAACAGAGGGAGTATCTCTATGGTTTGAACCCGAATTCTTCTGTCTCTTCGGATTATTTGAACAATAACTCTTGTAAAGACTCACCTTGGCCTCAGAGAGCTGGAACTCCACCTGGAAGACCAGTTCAGAGCAGTGACCTGATACACAGACCTGCTGGACCATCTTACTGTCACCTAGTAGACACACACATCACACCAGTTTAAGTGCATTAGTACATACCGAGGGACCAATTGAAATTTGCCCCTGTGGTATTTTCTTGCATATAAACAAAAGTTTAAAAGTTGTTTACATCCAACCTTGATGGTTTTACTCTAAATTTGAAGAATTAATGCTGCAACTAACAATTATTCTGATTGATATTTGGTGATTTTCCTGATTCATTGACAGATCATTTAAACTATAAAATGTCAGAAAACAATGAAAGCTTTGGATTCAGACAGTGCTGTTCTCTTACTGCTTTGCAGAGTCTTTCTGGTGCAGCTGCTCAGATAGATGCCATTCATCTGTGTCTGCTGCTTCAGATCATCTTCCAGCTCCTCCAACTCCTCCTTCAGCCTGGACATCACCTTCTCCTTCCCTCCTACGTGTTTCTGTCCACACATATACGACCTGTGGAGATGAATGGCACACTGTCACAACAGAGCAGCACATCTGTTTACCATTGTTTAGTTACTTACATGCCACTACACCCCCCAGAGTAAGTCTAAGTAAGCTTAAGGGGAAAATTACATTTTAAAGTGTAAGGTTGTATGCGGGTAATTCCTGCAGGTTAAAAAAAATCAATCAGTGTGAGAAAGAGTCCGAAAGAGAACAAAAATAAAACTCACAGGGCATCCTGCATTTGTCCTTTGAAGTAAATGTCCATGTGGTTGTCCTGCTGTTGGCGCTTCAAAGCTACAACTTCAGCTTGGAGACCATGGATCTGAGCCTCCAGCATTTCCACCTCTTTTCTATTCTCCTCGCTCATCTTCTCCTCCATCATGGCACAAAAAACAACTGATTAAATAAAAGAATAACGTGGAATTTTTAATGAGGGAGGAAGACAGCATAAAACCTGCAAACTTACAAAGCAAACAACATGAACAGGGCAGTAAGACAACTGTCACAAAAGAGTAAAACTAATGTACTATATGCAGGAGGTGGCAGGATGCTAAGTGAGATTTGACTGTTTTGACCCAATGGTAAACTCACGTAAAGGGCCAGTTCCCATTGAATTAAAGTATGAATGCACTTCCAACCCACGAAAAGGCTCTCTGATAGTCTAAACGATCAAATAAATAGCGCTAAAAAGAGTGACTTGGGTTACATCAGTTTTAATCACAACAACACTACAATCCAACTAGCTAGGATTACTTTACGATGGGTTAGCCGTTTAAAAGCTGTATAATTGTAACTTACCGTATTCGTCTCCGCTATAATGTCAACTTATTTAAATAAAAGTGACTTTAAGATTCTGTATCCACATATATAAAATTGTTTTATTAAACAATTAAACACTTTTACTCACCTGAACGATATCAGCTTATTTTCCTAACAACCAAAACAGTTTGGAGCATCGCGCCCTGCGGACTCTACCACTTCCCACGAATCGGAGTGGGGGACAAATTGCCTCTCTGAAGACTGGTCAGACAGTGTGCCTCCCTTTAGATACAAATAATGTAAATGTTTATAAATATTTATTGTAGAACTACATATTATCGCTTTCATATTGTCAATAGGCACGAAATAAAAAGCTGTCTGATATAGAAAATAGCGGGAGCCCCCCTCTACATAGAAAGTCGTATCTAACTGCTGCGGTTTGAGCTAAATTAATGAAGGAAAATAATTATTTCTTTATCGAGTAAACGTCATAAATCGTTACATTTTTAGTGTTAAACGCATCAGCACCGACTTTTGGCTTTATTTATGGTTTTATAATGGCTGTTTTCTAAATCTAATTGTAATAAATCACAACGGAACACTTCGGATCTGCGGAAACAAGCACGGAAGGGAAAGTCGACAGGACTGCAGCGCCGGACAGAGTTAACGGTAACACCAGCTACATACATGTGAGGTAAACATTTGTTGGTTTTTCTGTTGATATAAATTTGACGGTTTGTTTGATCGTGATAACTCTATCGGCTCAGCTATAAGACAATTTAATCAGAGAGCTCATAGCGCAGGGAGTGTGTCAATGATCGTTTGAATATGCACGCTGCAGTAAGTGCTCTCTTCATGGATATAATGTTTGGTTTTAGTTTAAACTGCCTCAAAAAGGTGTTCATTGACTTTTATTGTCATTATGAACTGTATTATTGAACTGTATAACATTATATTGAGAGGTATTCGGTATATTTAGTTTACCTTTATTGGCATAAATATGGTGGACAAAAAATTTGAAAATACAGAAGTACTAAAAAGTGACTGAAGTGAGGATGCTCTCAAATATGTTGCCATTAGTTTATATTATTTTATATTTAGCAATTAACTTTAAAGTGCAGCTAACAGAAAAAACAAAATCAAATCAATATTTAGTTTGACTATCCTTTGCCTTCAGAACAACACTGATTCTTCTTAAACACAGTTTTTGACAGGTACTTGACAGGTAGTTTGTTCCAGCATCTTGGAGAATTCACCACAGCCTCTGGGGATTCAGGCTGTCTCAGTGTCTTCTGTCTCCTCATGTGATCCCAGACTGACTGTTGCAGGACTCCTTGTTCTTTTGGCTGTATGTTCAGGCTCGTTTTTCTGCTGCATAATCAGTTCTGAACCGATCAGACAACCTCCATGATGGTGTTGTGTGATGGATCAGATTCTAAACATCTAAAACTTTTGCACAGCACCTCTCAGTGTAATGCTGCACAGTTCAACAGCAGCACAAACTATAGCCTCCAACATGACCATATTCAGATTTGAGACTAAGTGAAATGACAGTTCAGTTATTATTAAAATTGTGATTTGAAGCTGATCAACCTTTCATTGATTACAACTATCTGGCACTGCTAAGGTGCAAGTACTCACAACCTTATGGTTAATCAGAGTCTCCTTCCATCTATGGTCTATGGATGGAAGGATGTATAGGTACACATGGCTGACATATGTGTTTTTGGTTTTTTTTTGTCTGTGCAGTGACGGTGTTGTCGTTGATACGGAGCGATGCGGCGGCTGTACGTCGGTGGGTTGAGCCACTCAATCACCCAGAAGGATCTGAAGGATCGATTCGGAAAGTTTGGAGATGTGCAGGATGTGGAGCTGCGGACCAGGAGGGACGAGGAGGGTGAGGAATCAAATAAAAAAAAATTCAAATGTCATTTACTTCTGTTGATTTTTATGCCACATTTAATGTTTCATATAGTCTAAGATTTAAAACTCATCACCTGCTGAACAGCAATTTACACATTTTAATTTTAAGTAATAATTGACCTGCATGTGTTTTGACTGCTCTCCTCTAGGTGTTCCTTACAAAACCTTCAGCTACATTAACATCGAGATCTCAGATGCTGACCTAAAGAAATGTGAGTGAATTGAGCTGCTGCTCTTTGTGCCTTCAAGTTTTATTTTACTTAAACCAGGAGAAATGCTGGAAAATAATTCAACATAATGATTTGTGTTGGAAACAGCTGAAATATTTTCTTTCCTTTGGTAGTTTTTTACTTGAATTAGTGGTATGTAACCTCAGACCAGCTCCTCTCTTACCTGTTCACCGGAGCTTGTGTTGTATCATCAGTGTGAGATCAGTGTGTTTCCTCTTCAGGTCTGACGGTGCTGAACAAATCCAAATGGAAAGGAGGAACTCTGCAGATTGAAACAGCCAAGGAGAGTTTCTTACACAGGTAAAGCCATGTTCACCTCACCATGAAAGTCTTCAGACTCACGAGGCAAGAAGAAGCTGATACAATTAACAATCAGTCAATTTAACTTTATTTAAGGCTGTAGCTAACGATTATTTTTATTAATTAACTTTTAACTTTTAATAATTAACTAATCTGCCATTTATTTTCTCAATTATTCGATAAATGATTTTGTGTGCTAAGTGTCAGAGTTTTTAAAAATGTCTGTCATAGTTCCTCAGAATACAAAATAACATATTTAAATGTTTTGATTTGTTCAACCAAATGTCCAAAACCCAAAGACATCTAGTTTACAGTGATATAAAACAGAGAAAATTGGAGAAGCTGTAACTAGAGAACAGTTGAAATTCTGCTCTCAAACAATTAGTAGATTATCAAAATAGTTAACAGTGGATTTCCATCTCTGATTTTACAGATTAAAGAGGACACACACTGTTTGTTTGAGAATTAAAGACATGTAGGATCAGATCAGCTGCAGACTCTTGGCAGCTAAAATCTGTCTCTTGACTTACAAAATGATTACAGGTGAAACTCTTGAACAAGTTTTTGTTTGATAATGGATGTGTAGTTCTGTAGGATGACGCCCTTTCAAATGGCCCTGCACTCTTAATAAGCACATTCTAGCAGCAGAGAGTTTTCCAAGTAAAAACATATTCCACACTCTGCTGATCTGTGATAGAGGATTCCTCCTGATCTTAATGTGTAGTGAGTTTGTGGCGTTTGTGTCTCAGACTGGCTGAGGAGCGGCAGGCGGCGGTGGAGCAGCGCCTCCAGCCGCCTGCAGCTGAGGACAAGAGACAGAAGCTGCTGGACTCCCTGAGCAAAGCCGGCGTGGACAACTTCACCATGAAGGCTGCGGTGCCGGGGACCGAAGTACCAGGACACAAGGTCAGCTCACCTACAACACGAAAAGTTGTGCAATAAGAATAATTCAAAGGATAATATAATCACATGACAATTCAACACAAAGGGGCCATTAACATCATTCACCATAATTCATTTCAATGTTTATTGTTTAATCAGCTTTATGTGACACACAGCTTCATGTGTGAGGATGAGGGTGCTGACAGTCCTCTGGGTGCTCTGGTTTCAGGACTGGGTTGTCAGTAAATTCGGACGAGTCCTCCCCGTCCTGCAGCTCAGGAGTCAGAAAGGCAACAAAGCTCGAACCATGAAGTACGACCCGTCCAAATACAGCCACAACATCCGCAAGCTGGACCGAAACGCCACAGACCAGTCCACACCTGTCACCCAGCTCACCTGGGAGGTACAGGGAGGGGATGATGACATCAGCAAAAAGAGGCGGGGCGAGTTCCCTCCGTATGAGCCACCAAGACCCAAGAGGAGTCGGAAAGATGTGGTCAACTCCCATAATGCTGCGGGCAGAACCAGGTAAGGATGGGATGTTCCTTTTTAAGTCAGACCTGGTTTGTGTTGTTTTCCAGGAATCTAAAAGGCATCTGAGATTCCCAGTGTTCCCAGTGCTATCTAGAATTGTCTGCTGGTTCCTGGGATTCTCAAAATTATTTACTGATCTCTAACATTCCCAAAGATTTTTTTTTTTTTTTACTGGTTTCTTAGATTTTTTTTTAAATGTTCTGCTGGATTTCCTTCTGGATTTTCTGGAGTTCCCAACTTTGTACTAGTTTAGTTTAGAGTGTTTCAGGAACCCGTGCTGGTTTCCATGATTCCATATTTTCGAGGTTTTCTGGTTTTAGAATATTTTTACTGACTCTTACTAATCCTAACCCCAAAATTCCTATTGATTATTTCTATTATGGAAATTATGCCTAAAACCAATGTGCAAAAAGTTTCAAAAAGGAGAGACCTGATTTAATTAAAATTTCCTAATGGTTTTTGATATTCTTATAAATTCTCACTGGTCTTGTGGATTCCAAAAACACGCTACTGGGTTTAATTTTCTTTCGTATTTCTGGGATTCTCAGTTTCTACTGGTTGTTTTAAGTCATGTTTATGATTCTCATGATTAAGAACATTTGATGCAGGAACCAATTAATTTTTTGGATCAAAACTTTCCTTTTGGTTTTTGATTTAACATCCTCAAATATGTTTTGAATCCAGTGTCACAGGTTCTGTAATCTGCATATTTAGGGGAAAAATACACTTAAATTCTAAATGACATTAGGTTAACTTAATTCACAATCTACTCTGTTGGTATTTAAAGTTTTAAATGGCTTTAAATGTGGTGAAAAACAAATTATGAATATTTTTTGTCTTAAAAAAATGAAAGGACTTGAAATTTGAGTGACTTGACAACCCTTCTGAGATCTCCACGATGTGTTACTCTGCTCTCATCAGCCTGTCTCCTCCTTGTTGTTTCCTCTCAGGTTTGAACAGACCGTTCCCTCTGTCAATCACACTGAGTCTCATCACTTCACCAACGGATTTCAACTACCAACCAGCCACCGACCGGCTCAGAGGAAGTGGGCCCCGTTGACTGACGGCGATGTTGATTCAGACGAGGAAATCCGCAGACTGGTGGCGGCTCAGGACACCTCCCATGGTGCACTTTGTCAGGGAGTGGAGGAGGATAACCTGGAAGTGGTTGGACTCGACTACTTGGTGAAGCCGGGACGTTCCCAGCAGAAAGGTAACAGAATTTTCTCATCAGTGTTTCTTAATGTTAACATTCCATACAGATGTTCTTTAAGTGAGCCGTAAAGTTTTGTGGCACTGAGTTAAAGGCTCAGTTCACCCAAATGACAAATTTCCTCACTCCTGAAACTCGTCTGTTGTTCATTGGTTTCTAAACCCACTGATCCTGTTACAGTGGATAATTCACCCCTCACACTGGAGACCGTTTTCATCCGCAGTGTTTCCTCAATAGAAACTAGTTCAGTGAAAATAGTTCCGTTTATTTTTTGCCCTCTTCACACATACAGATTCAGAGTAGCAGCCGATCTTTTGTCTCTCAGAATAATCTGACCCTTTAAAAATAATTATAATATTAATACACGATGAGCATTGTTGGCTATCTCATATCAAAGTAAACTGAAGCTGCTTCCTTGTGTTTCTGCTTCATAACTGCAGCCAATACCGATACGGATATTTGAGAGTTAAAGAAATCTGATAACGATATATACTGACTGATTCAACAAACATTTTAAATAAAGATCCTTTAGATTTGGTTATTAAAGAATACTTACCTACATATCTGCTGCATGCAACGTTTTACAGTGTTAAAATAAACTCACTATACGAGTGAAAATAAGATAATATAATGAATGAAATAAGTTAATGCAGTAAGAACCAACTCTTGTGTGTTTGAATTCTGTTCACAAAGCTCAGGATGGATCCAGTGATCAGCCACAAACTCTGAGAGATGCTTTAAAATGTGACAAGTTGTTCTCTGTGATTCCAGGTGGGCCAGATGATGAAGACGAGGATGACTATGACTCAGCTGACACAGATGAACTCTTTGCCTCCAGGAAACCTCCTCCTCCTCCTCCATCACAGGAGAAACAGACTCTGCCCACTGCAGAGCACCTCTCAGGGAACAACACAGACAGGAAGAGAAAGACGAAGAAGAAAAGTAAAGCTGGAGTAGAAGAGGAGGAGGAGGAGGAGGAGGAGGAGGAGGAGGAGGAGGAGGAGGGTGATTCAGCAGATGATGAAGATCACCTCACCTGCAGGAAACCAGCACAGCAGAGAGGGGTTTCTGCTAAACAGAGTTCTCAGAAACATGGAAGCAGCTCGGAGAAGCAGAGTAAGAGGATGGCAGCCCTCCCTGTTGTAAAACCCCCTTTGTCAGAATCAGATAGTGATGAGGATGATGAAGATGAAGATGATGAGGAGTTAGAATCAGCTGATTCCTGTTCAGATTCTGACTATGAAGCCATGTTTTCTAATGTCACCTGTCTGGAGATCTCCCTGGCTGATCTACAGAGGCTAGCTGAAGAATCCCAGCAGACCTCTGAAACTACACCTCCCAGCATCCTCAGTGCCGGCCTCGAACAAGAAACTAACCATATATCCAGCCCTGCGGAGCGGCCTGCGCCCAAGAAAGGCACCACGCCAGAGGATATCCTCGCCTCCATCATGGAGGACGACAGCAGCGATGACGAACAGAAGAAGAAAAAGAAGAAAAGAAAAGGAGTCACGTCAGCACCGCTGCCTGCCTTCCAGGGAACAAAAACATTGAGCGAGGGATCAGAAACAAACGACTTCCAGAGGAGACACAAAGAGGAGGAGGAGGAGGAGGAGGAGGGAAGAGGAGGTGCCGTCAAAAAACAGAAGCTGGACTCTGAAGTTCCTCGAGTCGACTGCAAAATCAGCAGGACTCTGAGCGAACAGAAACACGTAGAGGAGACGACATCAGAGAGCAGTGAGGAGGAGGAGGAAGAGGAGGAGGAAGGGGAGGAGGAAGGGGAAGAGGAAGGGGAAGGAGAGGAAGACATAGAAGAGGAGAAGAAGGTGGTTCCAAATAAAGCTGAGACTAGTTCCTCCTCTAGCAGTGATGATGATGAGGTGGAGGAAGAGGAGGAGAGGATGAAGGCTAGTCTTACAGCCAAAGCTGCAGCAAAGGCTTCACCTTCATCTTCCAGCTCCGCCTCTGAGGAAGACGAGGATGAGCAAGAGATCATCTCTGCTGAAGGTGTTGGGAAAAAGGCAACGCCCCCTGCTCCTCACAGTGAGTCCTCCTCCAGTGAGGAGGAGGAGGAGGAGGAAGAGCGGGCTCCTTCCAGGGTGACTTTAGGAGCTGAGGAGGAAGAGAAGCTACAGAGAAAGGCCAACGTGAGGAGACTAGCTGCCATCCAGCAGAGACTCAAAGAGGCTGAAGAACACAAGAAGCTCATCCAGGGAGCTCTATCCAACCTGGTGTGTGTGTGTGTGTGTGTGTGTGTGTGTGTGTGTGTGTGTGTGTGTGTGTCAGAGGAAACAAGCTTTACATAAATTGCATATTTACACATCTTCAGATTGGAGCAACATTAACACACATCATTAATCTGCATTAGGATTCCTCGACACCAGGAGCAGGGAAGCACATTGTCTTTGGCTCTGATGAGGAGGATGATGATGATGATGAAGACAAGCGGCAGACAACCTCAGAGATCACAATGTCAAAGAAGACCCTGTTCCAGGACAGCCAATCGGAGGACGAGGCCACAAGTGATGAGGCATCAGCCAATGAGAACAAGACAAGAAAAGAGAAGAAGGTGAGTAAAGAGAGAAACTGGTCAGAGGATAATTACTTCACCTAGAATCTACCTGTGGATTTATGTAAATGCTGTTTCTATTTATCATTATTCACCTGAAATAAATTTTTAATCATAAAAACAGAAAAGATTTTAACTGGTCACAGCAACTACATAGTTTTCTCTTATTTATGAAACACCTGTGGTTTAACTTTGTGTGTGTGTCTGTGTCTGTTTCTGAAGCCGTCGGGGCCTCAGCTGTTTGGTGGCAGTGAGGATGAGGAGAATGGCGATGAAGAGGAGGATGGCGGGAGGTTTGAAATCAGGCCTCAGTTTGAAGGTCGAGCAGGTCAGAAGGTGAGAAAACAAGTTTTCAAAGTGCTGCACTGGTTTGATTCATTTATGATTTTATATCCACAGTGTCGTCTGTTGATAGTCTGGACACAGGGCTGAAATATCGTAACACTGTGACTGGACACCTTCCTCTTACGTTGTTTGTTTGTTTGTTTGTTTGTTTGTTGTTCAGTTGATGGTGCTGCAGTCTCGCTTCGGGACAGACGAGCGTTTCCGAATGGACTCTCGCTTCCTGGAGGAGGACGAGGACAAAGGCGAAGAGTCAGGTGAGGATGTGGTCAAAACTGTGATGAAGAATAGATGTTGTTACTTTTCTGTCTAGTTTTCTGTCTTATCCTGTAGAAGTGGAAACATCTGTTTCTGTCCTTGGGAAGAGAATTTTATATTTTGTTTAAGTATGTTTTAATGCTGCTTGAAGATTTTCAGTTTAATTTAGTCATTATCAAGATATCCAGTTTTAAGCAATTGTGCTGTAAAGTTTTAATTTTAGGCTTGTACACTTCACTCACACAACTTGTATTAGTACATATCTCTGGCATTGCACTTCTACTTCTTTTTGCACAGGTATGCTTGTTGGTGTGAGATGCTCTTTGTAGTCTACGCTGTTTTTTTTTTTTTTTTTCTTTCCTGAATGTTTGTAACGTCTTCCACTGAAATAAAACCTGTCAGCATCTCTCGCTGGTAAATAACCTGACTGTTGGTAATTCAGAGAGGAAGAGGAGCGTGACAGATGAAGATGAGGCTCTGGAGGAGGAGAAAAAGAAGAACCTGTCCATCTTGCAGAGCGTCCTCGGCAGCAGCCAACAAACCTGCAGCAGCAAGACTGCCAGCAAAGCCAAAACCTTCAGGTCAGCCACGCAGACGCACAGTCTGGACCACAGCCGCTTCTGAACTGGAACTTTGTATTTCAACAGCTTACATTAAAAAATATTTTTAAATGTGTATGTTTGCAGAGATGTCTCGGCGCTGCATTACGACCCCAGCAGAGAAGAACATGCTGCATTTGAGACCAAAACAGATGAAATCAAGGAGAGGTATGAACACAGAAACTACGAATGGTCCAATCAAATCTGTTGAGGATTAGGCAATATTCTCTGTTTTTGATATTGTTCACAAATCCCATGAAAAGATGCAGACCAACATTGCGTTATTTGCAGCGGATTAATACAAATTTGGTTCTTGAGTAATGTAGTTGCCAGGTTTCTACAAGTAAGAAATGTACGGAATAAAAAACTGACGAAAATTCTGGTAATTCTGTTCCGTTTTTTTTCAACTGTGCATCATGAATCCAATGATATTAGAGTGCAGTGCTTACTCTGTGCAGTGGTCTTTGAATACATAATTCAAGATTTTATTCTTGGATTTGTAATGAAAAAAAAAACTTTTTTTTTTTTTTTTGCAATTTTGGGAAATTGCACGCAGAACTGACTTTCAGTAAAGTCAATTTAATCCATTTAAAATTAAATCTCTAATAAAATTAAGTGTCAAAAGGTTTTAAAAGCTGCTTTATTTAGACAACAGGATGGGACCCAGGATTGAGCCTTGTGACACGCCACATATTAACAGGGCTGATGGCTAAATGTCAAAACATTAATATAATGATGTATAGCTGGAGGTCGTCTTGTATTAATTTATTAGTTTAAAGTCATCAAATAGAAAACCACTAAAGAACTTAATCAATTAAAATGTACTCTAACTGTCATGTGATCTGTTTTCTTCACAGCAAGTCAGCCAGAAGGAAAAAGAGGGAAGAGGCTCAGAAGCTTCCGGAGGTTTCTAAAGAGATTTATTTCGACGTGTCCGGTGACCTGAAGGCCGTGTTTGGTCAGACAAAAGATGACGTCGCTAGAGGAGAAGAGAAGACAAACTGGGACCAGGAGGAGGAGGAGGAGGAGGAAGGAGGAGGGAAAGATGAAGAGCCGACCCTGCTGTCATCTCTCGTCTCGACTCATCCCAGTGCAGAGAATGATCTGGATGAATCATCTGGATTTAAGTTTTCCTTCTTTGGAGATGACACAGAAACAGGAAGTAAAGAGACAGGTAGGTTAAATCGTAAAATATTTATCTCAAACTGTCTCAGAGGAAATATTGGTTTCCCCATAATTTGTAATCTCATTGTTGTCCTCTGCCAGCAGAGTACAAGGTGGAGAGCATCCAGGCTCCAAAGGTGTCATGGCAACAAGACCCACGTTTCCATGACAGTTCGGAGGAGGAAGAGGAAGAGCAAGAGGAAGATGAGGAGCAAAGCAACACTACTGCTAAAAGCACAGAGTGAGAAAAATCAAGATTTTACGTAAAATGCACTAATTAGTTTTGACCACATCTAGACTCAAAGGGTCTTTACTAGGGCTGCAACTAATGACTGTTTTTATTGGTTTAGTAGGTCTGCTGATTATTTTCTCAATTAATTCATTAATTGTTTTGTCTATAAAATGTCATAAAATAAAAAAAATGTTTATCATAATTTTAAATGTTTAATCATAATAGTGGCATCATCAGTCCACTGACCTGTAATTGCTACAGAGCAGATTATTCTAAAATCCATTTCAGTACAAAACCAGTGTGATCTGAACTTGTTTGTATGTTTGTTACTGTTCACAGAGAGGAGACTTCTTCAAAGACCGATCTCTTCTTCTTCTTTTACCCTGAAGACAGCAGATTGACAGGTAGGATGGAGCCACATCAGTGACCTCAGTACTCATTACTCTGTGATTTAATCATATCCACACTTCTGGCTGTTATTTGAAGCTATAGCTCAGGAACAGAAGGGGACATTGTGACCATATTTCACATTTGCTCGGACACTGAACTGGTGACACTAATCTCGGGTGCCCACCTTGAAACTGTGGTGATTGTATAATTCGTTTGTGCTGCTGGATTGAAGATATGTGTATATAAATCTTGACAAACATGCATGTAAACTGCAACTGCGACTACAACCGTGAGGCAGTAATTCTAGTTTGTTTGTAATCTGAACCTTCTCTTTCCTCCATCAGAGGGTCCCAGGTTGTTCTTTCGTTCATCTCAGCTGGAGGAGCAGAGGGAGCAGTGGGAGGAACGCAGGAGCGCACTCAGACAGGTACACATCAGTTGTCTCACCACATTTACTTTGTCAAGAATTCAACCAGATGAAAATGTTCATACATTATTAAAATATGTTTGAGTGACCACTGTAAGATAAATTGCTTCAAAGAGTAGTGGGGTGCTCTTCATTACTAAACCAAACCTCAAACAGTATTAAAATACAGTATATGATTAATAATTTTTTCTTTGTTTTTAATGCGTTTTTCAAAGCCATTGTGTGCATGAGTTGAAAATTAATTTTCTTTGGCTCCATCTGGTGGTAGTATCAAAAAAGTCACTGTGGCAGATAGCATTTTAAATTGCTGCATTACACAGCATGAGCCTCGGCCTCAGGGCAAAGAAAACCTCGACATACAGAAAAATCTCCACACACATCTGCAGAGAGAGCGAGCGAGAGAATAATTATTCATTTGTGGCCCTTGGAAGTTTAAATGCATTTACACTCAATTTACAGAGTACACATTTACAAATGTTTGCACACATTCACAAATCTGCATACATTAGGTTCTCACATTTTTGAAAAATAATATAGCTACATTGTTATTGACTGAACCTAATATCAACTCCTTAAATGTAGAAGATTTAGTAAAGATATTTCTACTTCCTGTCTGTTTTTGCAGGAGTACCGCAAGAAACATAAGGATGCCAGGAGGAAACTGAAGTCCTCCCTGAAGAGCTGAGGATTGTGGGACATGAAGTCTGTGTTTCAGTTTGCACACCCTGGTCTGGACTTTACAATTCAGGGCTGACAGGTTATTTCTCCCACTTGGTGCTATTTTGTGCACAGACTGATTTTAACAGTCAGCAGGACGGAGACCAACCGGCAGCTGAAGACACAGACCTAAAGTGAAAGTTTGAGATCATCAGAATATCATATTAATTTTTTATTTTAGTAAATCCTGAGAGGTATTTTGTGGTTGAAGCCTCCTATTGAAACAGATATATCTGTTTTTTGTTGATTGCCACAGAAGCAAATGCTGCTAATGAACTGATGGACAATCAGCAGCAGCAGCCAATTAGGAAATAAACAAAATGGTCAAATGAACAGAGAAATAAGTGCATTGATAATAAAATTAAATATGAAACGTTTTCTTGATGCATAGCCATTTGTTTTTCTATGTATTTTGGCCATTCTGTTTATTCTTTGTTTTAATTGGTCAGTTTTGGTCCTCCATATATCACTTCATATTTCCAGGCTGGAAACGGAGGGATGTCATCAGATTGTTGTGATCTGATAATGACTTATCTCATTGTGGACTTTGGTCTTTGCCTCACAGTTGGTTTGATGAGAAGCTTCAGTGTCACTTTGTGCTGTAAAATAAAATGAAATGAGATTTTCATATTTACCATATGCCTCATGATGAATCTTAAGGAACACTTTAGTGAATTAGTATTTTCATTATTTAAATTGGTAAGTACATAAGACAAATTAGAAAAGCACAAACTCTAGTATCCATCACTAGATCCTGTATTGTCACTGTTGAAGGACAGCCACATTTAAACATGACTCACTCATTTAAACAGTGACGGAGCGCCATAACGCACTCCGATGTGACCAACACTCTCCGCGCGCCATGACGCACGGGTCCCAGTCTGTGGAAAGCCACCCAACGCTGAAATGCCCTCATGTGGAGGCGACCGAGACGGATTGCGAGGATGGCAGAAGCACATCAGTCCCAGTAGTAAGATATGATCTGATTTGAACAGATTTGGATGAAAGAGTGCCAGACACGCTCTGAAAATCTGTATTCACTCCGCCGAGAGTCGCGCTCTGAAAGACACCGAGTCCAGACACGCCAGAGAACCGGGGAGGGAGGACGGCAAACTGAAGTCTTTACCCCCGCCAGATGGTGCTCAAAACCCAGGGTGGTGCCGCGAGCGCGTTCCATTCCTCCCTCTGAAGGAGAGAGGGAACCCGCTAACCACAGCAAGAGCCGCCGTCTATGGTGCTGACGAGGCGGGAGTGGATTTTATGCTTATTTATTGATTCCACAGTTTACATGCATGCTTTTATAAATATTTTTTCTTTTATTTATTTGCATGATTTTATTTATAATGATTTTGTTTGTAAGACATAAAAAGTCACAAAAACGTCATAGTATAGTAAGGCATAAAAACATAGTATAATAAGGAATGAAAAGTCATGAAAACTTCATAGTACTGTAAGGCATAAAAAGTCACAAAAACGTCATAGTATAGTAAGGCATAAAAACATAGTATAATAAGGAATGAAAAGTCATGAAAACTTCATAGTATTGTTTGGCATAAAAAATCATAATAACGTCATAGTATAGTAAGGCATAAAAAGTCATAAAAATTAGATAGTAAAGTAACTCATAAAAATGTCATAATATAGTAAGGCATAATAAAGGCATAAAAATGTCATAATTTAGTAAAGTATAAAAAAGTCATGATATTAGTGAGGCCTGAAAACGTCAAAAAACATAGTATTGTAAGGCATAAAAACGTCAGAATAACGTGATAGTATACTAAGGCATAAGAAATTCATATTTTAGTGAGGCATAAAAATGTCAACTAACGTCATAGTATTGAAAGGCATAAAAATGTCATAGTATACTATGGCAAAAAAACGCCAAATAAACGTCGTAGTATTAAGGCATAAAAATGTCAAATAACGTCATAGTATAGTGAGGCCTAAAAACGTCAAAAAAGTCATGGCATAAAAGGTCATAGAACAGTAAGGTATTAAAACAGCAAGGCCTAAAAATGCCAAAATACGTCACAGTACAGTCAGGCATAAAAATTATAGTAAGGCATAAAAAGGTCAAAAACGTCAAATAACATCATTGCATAGCAAGGTATAAAATATCAGTATAGTAAGCATAAAAAAGTCATAGTATAGTAAGACGTAAAACTGTCATTATATAACTCTTCCTCCTCCTCAGAGCAGTGATCCTGGCCTCCTCTTCCTCCTCTAGAACTGGTAAGCTTCCTAAACTGCTCTTTAATTGCCTCTCTGTGTTGAGCCTGGACCTTAATGTGTTCTGCTGTTTGATCAAAGTTCCTTTAACTTCTTCAAATAGCTGCAGTTTTTTGGAAAAGCTTTCAGGGTTTTCTGAAATTTGTTTTTGCGTTCCTGTGCAACTTCAATCGATGGGTCTAAATCTGTAGTTGTTGTGTGCTTTTGAATCTCTGCAGACAAGACAAACTGGTGGCTGATCGTCCAGACAGAAGATATTGAGTTTCTCAGGAGTGCAGATGCAGAGAGACTCAGATCCTGTTAAAACGTCTGATCTCTCTCCAATAGAAAGTCTCACACAGGTTCTTTAACGCCAAACTAACAGGTCGTTCTTTTAGTAGAGATTTTTCCTTACAAATTGGACACTCACGTTTGTTTCTTTTTTCCATCACTCCTCAGACAGTCTCTACAGAAGCTGTGGCTATAAAATGTCATAAGGCATAGAAACGTCATCGTATAGTAAGGATAAAAGTCATAATATAGTCAGTCCTTAATTAACCCAATCTGCATGTGCGGGGTTCGAACCCTGTAACGCGACAGTACAGTATAGTAAACGTCATTTGTATGTAAGATAAAAAGTCATAGTATAGTAGGGTGTAAAAAAACGCCATAGTTAAGTATAAAGTATAGTAAGGTATAAAATTCCTAAACAGCAGGCCAAAGAATATAATCAATATCTCTGTTTGTGAAATTTAAGATGATAAAGCAGCGCCTTAAAGTAAGTTAAGTAAACAAGGAGACAATTAACGTTAACACCAACCACCTGTGCGGAGGGACACGTTAGCTACCACTGGTGTGTCTCACAAATAACGGGCGGCTAGCGGCGTCAAACGTCAACAAACCCACACAAAACTAAAAGAGACGTGGGTAGAACAAAACCGCACCGTTATAAGTGTTTGACAACTTCAATATCATCACTTAAACATTTGAATTGTGTCGGCGCCACTTACCTCCTCAACATCAAGGAACGAATGTATGTTCAGCTTAGTTGCCACCGTCAAACGTCAATGCTTTCGCGCCATGCGCACACAAGCCCACAGTTAGGCGATGTTGCTCAAAGGAAGAAAAAATAAATAACTGAAATACATCTAGAATTTATTTAGCGCTCACAAATTCACTGAAAATTTGGTTGACAATTAATCGTCTTTTTTTTTTTTTTTTTTTTTAACAAAAATGCCAAAAATGCACTGGTACCAGGTTCTCAGATGAGAATATTTGCTATTTTCCTAGTTTTCTATCACAGTCAGTAAAGTCATTCAGTCAGTTGTTTGGGTTTTGACTGTTGGTCAGAGAAAGGGGAATAATAAGGTCATTTTCATTATTATCTGACATTTATTCACTGAACAATAAGTTAGTTATTACAAAAAAATAATTGTTGACCTATTGATAATGAAAGTAATTGTTGACAATAAGCCTAATCTTTTTTACTTTACTACTTTGCCTACTTTTCTGTAGGTTAATTAAGTGAAGCGGTTTGATGAAACACATACAACAAATGAAATCAACATAAATTAAAACAGTTAAGGTCATAAAACACAGTCCCTCTACAAGAGGGCCACAAGATGGAGGAGGGCCCAATGTAGTTGATATCTACTTCAGTGATGCTAATTTTAACAACAAGTGATTATTCAAAGTG